TGCAGCACAGCCGCACGTCAGCGCTCCGCCCGCGTTCCACCGCTCCGGGTCCCTTACAAAGCCCCCTCGGAAGGTCCGGGTTTGGCTTTGTGCCTTTGCTTAACAGTTGTTTCCACTCTTACCTCCCAGCCAGGCCACGCAGTTGGGTTTGGCGGGGGGGGTGTGAATTCTGAAGGTTTTAGTGGCAAGAACTTCCTTGTATTTGGGTTTCTCCACCAGGTATCTGATCTCAGCCATGAGCCTGTGAAGGAATCCTGGCAACATCGCGGTGCCACCAATAACCACCAAGTTCTCTGCCAGCTGCTTCCTGGTGTCTATGGGACACTAATGCAAATACAAACACAAAAAAAAACCCAAAATCCACTTTAGCTGAAGCTGCATGAGCCACCACTCAAAGGACTGTTAGAAATTCAGCCAAATTTCTATGTGCAATTGCTGTCTATTCATACTTAGCTGAAAATACCAACATAATTTCTGTCTCCCAAGAACACCAGGCTTAAGGATGCCCAGCTGATGCTTTTTTGGGTGCACTGTGAGTCCCTGCAAGGCCCTTCAGCTAAGACAGGCCCAGACAACAGAGGAGAGATACCAGTGACAATAACTGCCCCGAGTTCTGAGAGAAAACATGTCAGAGAAAGGGGAAGCCTCAGCCAGTGCTCTCACAAAGGGAAAAGTGTTAAAAATGAGACTGACCCTTTTCAGCTCCGTGTGGGAGAAAGGTGCCACAAAGTCTCAGTGGCAGAAAAGGTTTCTGCTGGAACTTGCCTTAGGCATCAGATAATCCAACCAGAAGACACAAAGGCATGAGAAGACCAGGTTTTGGCAGTTCTGCCCCTCACAAACAGATATGTGCTGTTCCTTTGAAAAAAAGTCCAGGCTGCTGTGTTCCTTTTGTCCAGAGGAACACAGCTGTACACCTGTAAACGTGACATTTGTCTTTCCTCCGGCCAAGGAGCGATGCAAGGTGGACACCCAGAGCTGCAGAGGTGAGGGGTGCAGGCACAGATCTTGTGAAATGATTTGTTCCCATCAGGAATTCTAATTGAAATGTTTGTCATGCCATTCAAGACCATGGCTCTCCAATTACTTATGTCTCAGCAAACTAATTTAAATGGCATCAATAACTGCAGGAAGTCAACTGTAATTAACGTACATACACCCCCACATAATGAAAATTTCCATTTATAGTGGTTTTCTAATGGATTTTTTTTCCTGAACATAGTAAGAAATGAAGCATTTGTATACGCCAAGAAAATTTTCCACAATAAATCTGATACACTGCCTGTAATAGAGATGTCCAAATGAATTCCTTCTACCCTAGGTAAATCAACAGTCTCCAGGATTCAAAGCCTAACTCTGAGCAAAACACTTCAAAAAAAGAAATAAAGAGTGCTTGTGTCATTCCAGTTTAAGCAGTGTAATTCCTTTAACAGCAAGTATTAGCTACTCCTTTGTCACTACATATGCAGAGCTTTGTAACTCCCCCTAAGCAAGCCTGGCACTTTTGCTGGGAGGTGAGCACCACATTTCTCAGAAAACCCTCCTAGACAGGCTACAGTGTACCAAAAGAGTAAGAAAACAATCAGAGTAGGTGACACACAGCGACTTGCTACCCTGCAGAAAAACCCACCATGTGGCAGAACCCCAGGAGCTGTGCTGGGCTAAACCTCACTCCACTGCAAGCTGCAGTCAGGAGGGTGTTGCTCTAGATGGAGTCGTTGATAACAGCAGGTTCTCTAAGGCTGGAGGCATTCAGTGAATTGTTCCTAACAGGAAGATACCTGAATGAGTGAATCCAGGATCAAAGTGGCGACAGACGTCTCCTCATTATCCTGTTCAAACAGTATTTCCACAACGGAGTCTCTGTTGGGAAGGCAGGAAGGGAGTGTTACTGAGAGGCAAGTGAGCTCTCACTGACAAACAGCGAGCTGGAATGACAGCACATCATCCCAGTGTCTTGTCACCCATCCGTGCACAGGGTGGTGCCAGTGGGGAGGAGACAGCGCTCCACTCACATCACTGAACTGTCTCATCCATTAACACCGTGTTCCTTTCTCCCCCCAACCCTCCATCTTCATCCTCAGCTGTGAGCTCTCTGGGGAAGCTGACGCCTCTCACTGCAGCCTTGCACCATGCCCAGCACAAAGCCTTAGATAAAGAGACGTTAAAATGCAAGTGTTTCATTAAAACTCAGTTTTATGGAAACATATGTGGTTTTAGAGTAAAAACTATATCCTCCTGAAGACACATACTCTGCTATGGTATTTCTCACCTGATAGGGCCAACTACATGGAGAATCTTTTCTCCATCTAAAGGATAGTCCACGTCTGGAGGTGGTGAAGGACGCTAGAAATTAAAACACACGTGGATTATTTTAGAGGCCAAAAAAGGCTGCACCCTCTTCAGAAGTGAAGGAGAAGCTCCACCCTCCACCCACCTCAGCACTGCCATCGATGTTGAACTTGGCTGCCTGGATCTTCAGCCCACGTTGGAGATCGCTCACGAAACAAGTGCGGACTGCGTAAAGGGAAGAAAGGGGCAGAGGAGAGGCTTTGTTGGATCCTTTCATCAGCAACAAAGACAAGAATTTCGCTTAATTTAGAGAAGAACACACACTTTAGGCTTTTTTTTTTCCAAAATTGAATTTAAGGCAAATTGAGCCTTCCTAGCTAAGTTATAAACAAAATCAAATGAAAATATTCTTAATGTCATGATGTTAAGATTGCTTAAATGTTGCATTTGTCACCAAAACCTATCTCTAAGGAGTTCTGAACTCTGTTGAGTACATGCTGTGCACATTCATACATGGTGAACAAAATGTTTACCCAATATATCTGAGCTAAGTCTTAATGCTTAAGCTAAACCTGAAGGAGGAATTCAACATGGTTTTGGTTTTGCTTTAAAAGAGGAAGAATGCTCCAAGTTCTTCCAGTAGCTAAGAAATATGGTAAACAGAGAAGATAAAATCAATTCCTAGATGGAAAGTATTGTACACTTGTTATTCCCACTCCATTGCACAATTTAATAAACTTTAATGTTTCATGAAGCAGAAAATTTTACCTTTTATATCCTCTACTATGTCTTCTGGAACTGAGCCTGAAATAAAAAAAAAACATAGAACAAAAGCTTTTAAAGTAGGAAAAGAATTTAAGAATGAAATTAAGTTTGAACTACATTTAGGCCATTAAAGTTTTACCTTGACAGCAGCTTTTAAAGATTTTGAGAAAGAATATTAAGAACAAGGAGAAAAAGTTTTGCCTTCTCTCAAAAGAGACTGAAAAATTACTGCAGAAGTCTAAACTCAGCCATCAATCAACCCTGCTGGTTTGAGCTTTTTATCATAAAAATAATATACTTATTAAAGATGCAGAAAGAAATAATGAAAAGTCGATCACCAAAGATGTGGTGAATCTTAGCATCTAAATGCATTTTACTCACTGTAACTACCAGCCCACTCTCCCCAGTGCAAGCCCACAGCACGTGCCACGCCATGCAGAGCTTACCCATCACAGATGGAAGGCTCTGTCCTTTGGCTAATCCTGTATCCACCATGCACTGCTCCAGCAACTGGTACTCCAGCTCCCTGAAAGGCCGCACATTCCACCCGTTAACCACCGCCCCTGACCTGGGCTGACCCTCCAGACGACCACTAAAGGGCAGGATCTACTCCCTTCCCAGACATTCTTCTAAACAAACTGAAGCAGATCTGATTTCCACAGCTTCTAGTACATCAGCAGAAGCCAAACAGTTGAAAATGGGATCCTGACACAGCAACGGTTATAAATCACACCCAACAGGAATCTTTGCTCGTTAGTCAGAGATGAACTTTCACCCCAAATCACTGTTACTCTGGGACATACAACTTCGACTCACTTGTGGATGGCCTTTCCTCCCAGGGGAAGAGCACCCCAGCAGCTCAGAATCGGAATCCCCTCGTAGATCTACGTGAAGCTCAGGAAACTCTCCTTTTGTGTTACGAGTTTTCAGTCTGTTGGAACTGAACGCTTTCCCCCACCCTCAACAATCTCTTGCATTAGCTATTGGAAACGTTTTCTAACTGCTTTTCTCCAAGACTATGATTTCTGGTACAGAAGGCCTGAATTTATGAACCACCCTTCCCAAGTTTCAAAGGAACACAGATTTAGCGTGTTGGCTGTGAAGAGATTCCCCAAGTCATGACACCTTAGAGTCAAAAGCCAGACTGGCTGATCTGTTCCTATCACTTTTTAGCACACTTGAAGTCTATAAAAATACCATCTTCTCACGACAGCCTTATTGCTGAAAATTATGTTTGGGTACTACTGAAGGATACAGGCAGCACCAAGCTTTCTGCATATCCACAGTCGAGCACCATGGCAGAATTGATCCCAAGCGTCAGCAGAGACATCAGATGACTTGGAGCAAACAAAACAGAAGGAACCTGGAGAAGGAAAACAAAAGGACAACTGACAGAGTGGTAAAACAAACCCCCCAAAGCACTGATGCTTCCCCCAAATACCATATTAAAAGCAAAACTCTTAAATAACTGTATCTTGAGGTATCCATCTTTAGTTCTTAAGGTAGCATAGTAATGAAGAAAATATAACAGGGTTCTAAATTCTATGTTCATCCTATTTGTGGTACATACCAGTGACTTTGGTAACAATGAATCTTGGAATTGGCTTGTAAGGAAAGCAAGTGTTAACTACAGAATCACAGAATCCTTGTGGTTGTAAGAGACCTTTATGATCATCAGGTACAACAGTTAACCCACCACTGCCAGGTCACCACTAAACCACGTCCACACGCATCCATGTGGACTACCTACATGTCTTTTAAATCCCTCTGGGGATGGGGACTCCACCACTGCCCTGGGCAGCCTGTTCAGGGCTTGACAGTCCCGTCGGAGAAGAAATTTCTCCTGATATCTGACCTGAACTGCAACTCCTGGTGCAACTTCAGCACATTTCCTCTTGTCCTGTCACTTGTTACCTGGGAGAAGAGACCAACCCCACCTCGCTACAACCTCCTTTCAGGTAGCTGTAGAGAGCAAGGTTTCCTCTGAGCCTCCTTTTCTCCAGGCTCGACAGCTGCTCCTCCTAAGTCTTGTTCTCTAGACCCCTCACCAGCCTCATCACCCTTCTTTGGACCTGCTCCAGAACCTACAAGTCTTTCTTGCAGTGAGGGGCCCAAAACTGAACCCAGGATTCGAGGCGCAGCCTCAACAGTGCCAAGCACATGGGGACAGCCACTTCCCTGCTCCTGCTGGGCACACTGGTTTTGATCCAGGCCAGGATGCTGGTGGCCTTCTTGGCCACCTGGGCACACTGCTGGCTCCTCTTCAGGCAGCTGTCGATCAGCACCCTGGGTCCTTTTCTGCAGAGCAGCCTTCCAGCCACTCTTCCTCAAGACTGCAGCTTTGCCTGGGGTGGCTGTGACCCTCACAAAACTCATCTGAAGTCCTAGGTAAAGTTTCTTATTGTCATTGGAAAGAAATTAAAGCAACTAAACTACAGCTACTCGCAATGTTGCATAAAGACTTGAAGATGTGAAGAAAGGTGCCAGAAAACCCAAAGTAGTGAGCCTCATGACAACACACAGCCTCACAAAAGAGGCTACTTAAAGCACTCTCCCCAAAGCAATGTGGAAAAACTCAAACCAGAATTACACGAGAATTATGTCCTTCTCCTAGAATTCCATAGATCAGGTTTCCTAGATAGTGACAGTTCCTTTAATGGAACATCTTGAAGTATGAATTAAATGAGCAATTTCAAGAAAACCTGCATTTAAGGGCAGCATTATTGATACTCAGCCCAGAGACCCAGGTTATAATATCAACCCTGTACTAATATGCCACTCTCATTCTCTGCACCAAATCCAAGTACTAGCTGCAGAATATTCCAGAGAGATTTCACCTGACACCAGTATTAGCTGGCTTCTTAACAAGGTACAAAGACTTTCCATCAAAATGTGACTTTCCAAGTCATGAGTCATTTTCAACAACCAGTTTTGCACACGACTGCTTTAAGGGAGACATTTTTTTTTCCTGTAAGTGGATGAGAATTAAAAACCCCAATCACTCAAATCTTTCAGCAATTTCAAGTCACCAGAAAATTCAAGAGTAGGGAAGAAATACGCAGAAGTTTAAGATTAGTTGGTAAACCGCTGTGGAAGCACAGTGAAGAAGTACCACAGATAAGCTAGTTTCACTGCTTAAACCTTAAACTTTGTTCTACCTAAATTGAAGAATTATGGATTCAGCTTCCAAAACACTTTCCATCAGAACAAAGCAAGAATTAGGTTCAGACTTTTCTTCAGAAAGACTGATTAAGCAGAGAAGGGAATAAATTTCAGGTAAGCTCTTATCTAAATGAGTACAGCCAGACATTGGATCACATGCTAGGCAAAGATACTGACTCAGGCAGAAGTTGTGAGATTTGCTGACAGAGCACTAACAAGTGTTTAAACACAAATTCTGGCCTTGGGCAGTGCTCAGTGGAGATTACTGGTTCTGTCTGGGACAGTGCGATGTGTGCTGCATTTGTGTAGAAGCCACAAAAAAAGTTTTGGATTCTGGTTAATAGGTCCTGTTCTGTGGCCTCAGGAAGAGTCAGGAAGGAAGAAAAATGGCTTTTAGTCCAATTTCCAAGCCCTACTTCCTCAGACAGCCACCAGCTTTTTCTCGTCTTCTTTCTGCCTTTCCCATTCTTTTGGCATTATTTTCATTTCTTTGTCCACATCTGGTTTTACAGGCATTATGTAAAGAATGTACCTCAAAATGCTTGAAAAGGACTCTTGTGAGCGTGTCTCTGAAGTGTGAAGGGCACAGGACAGACTCGATGATCACAACACGACGGTCTCGAGGATTCACCAGCAGATGTCTGAAACAGGCAACATGAATAAGTTCAAGCATGCATCATGGGACCTGACTTGCTTTCATATTCCACTCTCCTCAAAAATCCTAAACAGTTGCATTTAGATAACATTTTCTACAGCAGATACCCAAGTTTTTTTCCTAATGATAATCAAGGACACAGAAAAAAAAACACAGCAACCCATACCAGCAGATCTGAGGCACAGAAATGAAGTCCTAGTTTCCCTGTGTCAAGTGATGGCTTCTACAGTGTAAAAAGATGGACTGGAAATAAAGAGAAAAGACTAAGTCCAACTTCATTATCTGCTAATGATACTAAAAAGATGTATTACTGAGGTAAAAATATTCCACAAGTTAGGATCCCTCCTGCCACACCACTGTCATGTGGAGGGAGCTCTGCACCAATGTAAGAGGAGCTCCAGCCCTACCAAAATCAGTGGAAGCTCTTCAGTAATGCCTTTCCCCTGTCAAATCCTTTGCAAGTGCCACAGTTTAAAGGCAAATTATCAAACACTTTTTATTCCTAGAGAGCAGCTGATGCTGCAGGACATTCTTTTTAATACAACTCCAACCTCAGCAGCACTGAATTCCTCCTGCAAGAACACAGCCAGGCAGCCACCTGCAAAATCCTCCACTTGCAAAATCTCATTTCTCTTTTCTTGTTCAACTAGACAGGAGTCTTCAGTCACACTTCTAACACCTCTCAATGTACTCTGAAAAGAGCTGCAGAAGGCTGGAACAACTAACATCCAAGTATCTCTCACCTGAAATACAGCATGTGGATAAAATCCTTCAGGTATGAATAGAGCTCTTCTGTATTAATATTATACTGAACAACTTTGACAGGCTGTAAAGTAAAAATATCCACAGTCAGCTTATACACTAGGCAGTGATTATATATAAAGAAATACACACATTATATAAATACATATATGACACATACATGATAATATATTATACCTGAACATAAACAAACTGGCATACAGAAATACTCACTCTTGCCTGATTTGCTTTATGTCCTTAACAATGCATCTCATAAATTCACCCTATAACTAAACTCTAGAGTTTACTCATGCTAATTTTTTGTACTGGTAACTTACCTTTAGTTTTCCAAAGCTGTTAAAAGTAAAGAAAAATGCATAGCTAGGCAAAGAACTGCCTCAATAAATGCCCCAAATGTAAGTTGCACAGGTGATGAGTCCAAATGAACAACAGTACTGGTACCACACCTGCTTGTATCTAATTAGCATCTTTTAATAGCAGTAGTAGGATTAAGAAAACCAGTTTATGATGGACAGAAAACATATCTGCAAATACTTTTTATACAGCAAGATACCAAATGTTGTAGAGGTAAAACAGCTCAGGTACATCAGTTTACCTTTGTGACATCAGGTTTCTTTATTTCACTGGGAATAATGCACCTTGGTCCCGTTTCTCCTGCAAAACCACACCTAGAAGAAAACATTGAAAACCTTATGGTTCAAAGTCACTATTTAACATACTGGGCCTAGGAATTATCAAAGAGTAATTAATTATGGGTATTTCTGTGACTGCAAAGAGGTGTTTTGCACCTAGCTTTTCTATCTTGCCCTTCTGAATGAGAAAGATTTTGTAACATTTTTTTGACTCTCTCAGCTGCACTAGAAGAGTTTTCTCCACTTCTGTAAGGATTGTAACACTCAGTTTGGATGTGCCTCCTGCTTCCCACTGAGCACAGATGCCTGTCCATGATCATCCACCTGCAGCCTTACTGCATATTAAACTGCCAAAGAAATACCTTCCTGTACCCTCCATACAGGCCCCAGAGATTTAACTGAAGCTCTCAGAAAACACAGGGAAGACTGTCAAAGAAAATGAGGATTTAAAGAGGATGTGATATTTATTTAGAAGAAACAGAAGACCAAGACACCATGACCACGATCATGCAGGTCCTGAGGCCTATCTCCCTGCTGCCCAGCACCACTCCACTGATGCTTTTTTCCTGTTTCCAGTTTTGAAATGCATTCCCTCCACAAGCACCACAGGTGGTTTAAGGCAGCAGTGCCTGAAGGTGACTGGTTACAGCTCCAGGACTCGTGACAGAACACGAGGGCTCTGCATCCAACTTAGATGCAATGTAATAAAAACAGTAGCAATCCCAAACTTTTCCAAAATTCATTTGGTTTTCATAAAGCGATTGCACCGTAAGACACATAACCATGGACTGAAGAAGGCAAATTAAAACCAAAAGAATTCAAGATTTTATTTTAAGAAACTCAGTGCTTGCCATTTATTTCACCACAGCCACCTTCATTAAGTACAAACCTCAGAAAGTAAACTATGATAGAAAACATCAGCAGAAGACTATAAAGCTGCTGGACTTTAAGTACTTTTAATGCAGAAAGTCAATGAATACTTTGTTTTGGTACCTGGCAACTGTCAAGCTGTTTCTTCAGAATATTTTAGAGAAAAAAAAAATCCTAAAATATACATAATTCAGAGTTAAATTTTGACTTTGGTCTCCCAGACAAAGATGTGCATGGTCCCAACCATTGTCCTTGCCTGTCGTCCCAACAACTTTTGGTGAATTTCAGCCTTATTTGGAACAGGACAGATGGTCCTCATATCATCAAGTTGCTACCTGGTCTACAAGAACGAAAGCTGGAAGGAGATTCTAAAAATACACATTCAGGGGAAATGGTTTTTCAGGGGAAACATTTTTCCATGAGAGCATTTTCTTAGACAAACCATGGCCACGTGATAAAACCTCACAAGCACCCCAAATTTAGGGACAGCCTGCAACTGGCAACACAACACGAATCCACAAAAGGCCACTGCTGGAATTGTTTGTTTCCATCCACAAAGGCCACGTTAAATCCTCTCCAGAACCAGACTGCAGGGATTTCCAGGTAATGAATCTGCCCGCTGGTCTGAAATTACACAGTCACTTGGAAAAAACCACAAGTACAACTTAATACAAAACCAAGTTTCAAAGAAATACAAATACAAACCCAACAGATCCCACAGCTTCAGAGACATCCTCAGGCTTCAAGCAGGTAAATGCATCCACAAGGACACACCCAGAGCCATGAGCCTAGGCTAAAAAGGGCGGCACACACCCGAAAAGTCACTTTTCCTGCAATATATTTTTTTCTGTGTGCAAGCTGCCTCTCCAAGTAGGCCACTGAAACCCAGGGAGCACTTCCAGAGTATTTTAATCCCAGAGGTGGGACTGGATTTCTTCAACAGCCCCTCTCCATCAGGGCTGCATGCACCTGGGACGTGAGCATGGCAGGATCTGGCGGGTTCTAATATGATGGAGTATTTTGATGGGGGGTGGGCAGAGGCATGACTGCTTTTTTGGCCCACAGTTTAAATTACTAAATACTGTGCATTTCTCTTTCCAACCTGAGTTATCCCCTTTTTTTAAATTTAAAACACAAGACTAAAAAAATAGAATCACAGACTAGTTTGGGCTGGAAGGGACCTTT